TTAATTTAAGATTGAACTCTTCATCTTCTTACCTAAAACCTGCTTCTGTGACCATGATCTCCCACTCAACAGCTAAATTCTCCTTTTGCTTAAGCCATAAGCATATCATCACTTACAATTCCGGCCTTCTCACTCACTGTGCTTAATACATCACCAGATCTCAATACATTTTTTAAAAACATGGAATGCTTCACAAATTCACATGTGATTCTTGCATTTGGGCTGTGCTAATCTTCTCTGTGTGACTCCAATTTTAGTGTATATGCTGCCGAAGTGGGCACAAGTCTCAATATCTTACCAAATTCTTCCATGTGTCTTTATTATTACTGTTACTACCCTATTCCAGTTCACCATGCTAATTTGCAGTACAGATGATTCTTGACTTAACAATGTTTCATCTTAAACTTGTTTGACTTTATGATGATACAAGCAAGAGTGCTACACATTTAGTAAGCTCCATACTTCAAATTTTGCATTTTAGTCTTATACCAGGTGAGGAATAGACATAGGATAGTCTCTCTCCATGTTGGGTAGTGGCTGTGAACTGCTGCTCCTGGTCAGCTTCAGTTGAGCCTCGTGCTACTAAGAGGAAACACAACCATGTCTCTATAGTGTACCCTGTTGCTAAGCTAGGATGTTCAGTAGGTTAGGTATATTCATACATTTTTGACTTATGATATTTTCAATTTAAGATGATTTTATCAGGATAAAACTCCCATCATAGGTGAAGAAATAAAAATATAGCTGTGGATGGTAGGCTCAGCCTGGGTAGGAATCCAGCTATGTCACAACTTGTATAACACTGGTAAGTCACTTGTTTGTTTTTTTGCCTCAGTTTCTGTTTCTGCAAAATAAGAACAATAATACTGTTTATCTCATAGAGTAGCTCTGGATTTGCTGTTTTCTACACACAAAATAAAATGACATATATTAAAATTTGACACCTTACTAGAAACTCTTCAGCTGGTTACCTTAGATAAAGACCAACTCCTGAACACAATTCTCAAGGTCCTACATAACCTGGCCCCTGCCTTCTTCACCTCATTTTATTTTGTGCTGGTATCTATGGCCATGTGGTAGTGTCCTTAGATGTCCAATAAAAATCGAGTTTACCTTATTGGGACATTGTAAAGTTTGAATTAAAACACATGAAATGCTCTTCTTAGTACATGTGCAATAAATATTAACTATAAAATAATTGTTATTACTTTTTGTGTCAGCAATATTGGGTTTCTTTCATCATACTTTTCTTCCTCTGAGTATTTGAACTCTGCTTTAAAACTCCATTTTGCCCTCTTCCTTTTTTAAAAAATTAAGGAAGAATTAATTTTTTAATTAACGTTGCAGCATTAATTTGGATATTGCCAAATACTAAGAACCATTTTATTTATTTATTTATTTATTTATTTATTTATTTATTTATTTTTAAAGAGAGAGTGAGAGAGGAGAGAGAAAGAGAATTTTTAATATTTATTTATTTATTTTTTTAGTTCTCGGCGGACACAACATCTTTGTTGGTATGTGGTGCTGAGGATCGAACCCGGGCCGCACACATGCCAGGCGAGCGCGCTACCGCTTGAGCCACATCCCCAGCCCAGAACCATTTTATTTAAATTGTCTTGTTTTTCCTAGTAAATTTATATGTATTGGCTAAATTTGAATGCAGTCAGCTTACTGGTCATATTAAACATTATGAGTTAATGGGAAAGTCTGGATTAGCTGGTTCAAACCAGTCCTACTCTCCTACTCTTGTTACTTTATGTCCTGCTGCTGAGGGGAAATCTGGAAAAGGAGATAACATAGATAATGGTGGAATTTTCCATTTTAGAGAACAAAAACAAGTACTATAATTAACACATATTGAACAATAATAATACCCAATGGAGAGCCTGCAGAATAGAGTTGTAGTACATTCAAAATATATTAAATCCTGTTTTAAAAAAATCTAAGAAAAGCATGTGTCTTCAAAAACTTAAGCAGACATTAACTTCATTTTTCTTTGTTTTCTGGCACAAAGTCCAGATATTTTTCCTCTGTCAGGTTTGTAAAAAAAATAATGTGCAAAAGTATATCACATTTTAATTCTTTTGAGAAGCAGTCTAACAGGAGTTTGGGGAGGTGGTGCTGTTCTGAATAATTCACACTTAAATGAAGATTGTGTGTCTTCTGCTGAGAAAGTGGCTATACCTAGAAGCCAGTGTATTTCAGTTGCATTCTTGGCAGGAATAGCCAGTGTTCAAAAATCTTCTTCTTACACACACACACACACACACACACACACACACACACACACACAGACTTATTTTCAGAGAATGAAGGTTATATAATTGTTTGAAATTCAGTTCTTAGCTTAGAAATGGGGACACTTTAGTTATTAAAAGAAAACTATATTTGTTGAGTAGAATTTTCATTCACTGGAAATTTTAAAAGGGAAAAGGGGAAGAGAAACAAGAGATGGAGTTGAAGGGGAGAAAACCAGAATGTGGTTTTGTATGTGGTTTTGAATATGTCAAATCCCTGTCTTCTTTGCTTAGAAAAATAAAATTTGATCAACAAGAGAAGTCTTGCTACAGTTTCAGAACTGTGTAATCAATTTGGTCTCTCCTGTGTTATTTAAATTTATTAAAGTAATCCTGATTTTGGATTTGAAGTATTTATTTCTCAGATTATCAATTATGATAAAATTAGTTTTAATTTAAAATTAAATTTAATTTTCATAAACTTATTAAACATAATTAATAAAATAATTTTAAAATTAGGCAGCTCCTTAACCTCAACCATACTCATCCAAGAGAAAATAATAATAGTAATAATAACAACAACTAACAGAGGCTATTTTCCCATCATATCACAAGCCTATTAGGTAGATTTAGTTCTTGGACTCAAAGAAAGTTTCAAATGATAGATTTCCTTCATTTCTAACTTATTATTGGCTGTTTTCCCAACCAAGCCATTAGCAGACTTCAGATCTAGGCAGTAGGTTTGGCTGGAGTCTAAGTGAAGTCAGACGCAAAGGCAGGTAAGCAGTCAGAAGAAGGGAGAGAGATTGCCAAGAAGCCAGATGGTAGCAGAGGAGCCTAGACAATGGGTTATCACTTGTTCTTCCCCCCAAATTTTCTTCACCCTTGGGGCGGCCTCTGTCTTAGCTCCAGCTGTTCCCTCTTTTTTTCTGCTCAGAAATTTGAAAGAACTGTCAAGTTCAATTTGAAGTTTTTCTTTGGGTAAATTCTCAAAGACTCAAATAACTGGTCATTTAAAATCACTTGAAAAAAATAACCACTCATTTTAATGAAACACACACACACAGACACACACACACAAAAGCAGATGTATTGTCATTTTATATATATATATATATATATATTTGTTGGGGGGGTAAATAGCTGCGCACGAAAGGACAACACTAAAAGTTCAGAAGCATAATATGTAAATTCTGAAAATAACAGAGAGGGAGGAGGGAACATAGAACAGGTGGTTATTCTATCAGAAGATAGAAAACTAAATAACGTGGCTGCATAACCAATGTGATACTGCAATCTGTACATGTGGAAAAATAAGAATTCATACCCCATTTGAATAAAATGTATGATAGGTCAAGATCATTGTAATGTTTTGAGCAACTAATAAATTAAAAAAAAATCAATAAATAAAGTTAAGAATAGTACATAAAAACAAGTAATGAACTTAAATAAAACCAGCAATGTTCATAATCCTAATAAATATAAATAAATTAAACAATAAAATGGAGAGATTCATGAGTTAGATTTTTTTTAATTCAGTTGAATGTTATTTCAAGATTCACAATAAACATAAGGACAAAGGAAAGGCTGACTATTAAGGCCCTGTGTGTTAGACTGGATTACTACTGGTCCCAATTTTTCATTCCCCTCAGATTCACACTCTTGCCATAGCCTCTTCCTGAGTAGTGTAGATTCTTGCTTCTTGGCTTTGGACTTAGTCATGGGACTTCCTTTGGCTAGAAATGACAGTGTAGCAGTTCTGAGCATCCCCACGTGTTTTCCATTATCCTCTTGCTGCTTTACCTTTGCCATGAGCACTTCTCTTATAAAGTTGCTGTCCCAGTAGCACCAACACCAGAATACACCCTTGTAGGAGAGAGATTCCCCCACCAACCCACAGGCCTGCAGCAAGAAGCAAAGCTGTCCGGCCCAGCCCAGCTTAGATCAGCAGAGCCCAGCTGATAAGTGTTCTGTGAGTCAATCTTTTATTTTAGTCTCCATGTGCTTACTTGGCATAATAGGGAGATATAAGTCCTATAATCTCCTGCCTACCATTTTGAAACCTGGTTTTGTACAAGGTGCTTTTGTATTTTCATACCCTGCCAGCTCAGCAGCCCTCGGGAAGGCTACAATCTGCAGGATGGCCTCCAGTTCTCCATATCCTCCTTTAGGTCTTAATCCCTTTTATGCTATTTAAATCACAGTGACTTATCTGCATTTATTTTTTGTCAGATTGGCCTAGAATGTTGTGGGTGCTGTCCAATACTTGATACAGTGTTTTCTGGCTCATTGGTTGCTAGGAAGCACTTGGGAGTAGTGATCTTTTCAACTTTTAAAAAATAACATAAGGAAGAAATCCACCATCTCCTTTCCTCTGCTGAGTTTACCTTTAGCTCCTAATATGAGTGGCTCCTGTTTATTATTTAATCAAAATTGTACCTCTTTTTTTGGCATGCTAGAGATTAAATCCAGGATGCTTTATCACTGAGGTTCACCCCCAGTCCTTTTTATTTTTCATTCTGAGACATGGTCTCACTAAGTTGCTGAGGCTGGCCCCAAACTTGCCATCTTTTTGCCTGAGCCGCCTCAGTCAGTGGGATTACAGGAATGCACCATTGTGCCTGGTGCCTCTGATGTATTCTTTTTTTTTTAAAGAGAGAGGTAGAGAGAGAGAGAGAGAGAATTTTAATATTTATTTTTTAGTTATCGGCGGGCACAACATCTTTGTATGTGGTGCTGAGGATTGAACCCAGGCCGCACGCATGCCAGGCAAGTGCGATACCGCTTGAGCTACATCCCCAGCCCTCTGATGTATTCTTAACAACATCTTCCTTGTAGTTTTGAGAGCTTTTTTGGGACACCTATTCTCCACCTATTTATAAGTTGTCTATGGTTCCCATTTGGCTCCTTCAATTTTTGGAAAGCTATGTTTTTTTCTGTAATAACCTCTTTGCTTCTGATAGATAATAGTGATGTAACAAGAAGGCTGTGCTATGGCTTCCAGAGAAAGTCACAAAAGTTAGATGAGCTTCTCTCAGGCATGAGATATAGCACCATTGGTTGTGAGCTCAATGTTAATTGGTAATTTGGTACATTCAGCAATAGGAGAGGATATTTGCTGATTGGTATGTGAGTGTGCTTCAGAAAGTGCTTAAGTAACATCTACCATGTGTGGTGAAGCTGTGGAAAAGATGGAAAAGAGACCAAACTCAGGAATTCATGAGGTGACAACTGACTAAAAAGCAAATCACCAAACAAAGCCTAATGGACAGCACTGTTATGAGACTGAAAGCCAAAGACATTTGCACATTATCCAAGGTCAAGAAAAGTATTAAACCCTTCTCACCTAATGTTGTATTATTTAAAAATAGATATCATTAATTTTTAAGAAATATAAACTTTCAGTATCTTCAAAGACAAACACATGTAAAATAGGTAATGTGTTGATCTGTTGATGATACTACTATGACCAGATTGTACACAGGAACAGATCCCTGTGTTTCTTTTAGGTAACACATCACTGTCCCCTACAAGCCAGTGCTTGTGGTGCCTGAAAAACATGACCACAAGGAATAACAAGACTTGCTGGGTGTAATGATGCATGCCTGTAATCTCAGCCACTCAGAAGGCTGAAGCAGGAGGATCGTAAGTTCAAAGCCAGCCTCAGTGGCAAAAAGTGCCCATGGATGCCATCCCCAGTACCACGAAACAAAACAAAAACAAAGTAACAAGATGGTATAGAACACAGGAAGGAGTGAGCAGTTCATTTTGGCATTTTGACTAGAATATAGGATATCTTGGTAAAGAAGAAGAGGGGGGAGAGAGAGAAAAAGAGAGAGGAGTATCACCATAAGTTAGAACCAAATCATGGAGGCTTTGAAATCCAAAATATGAAGCCAAACAATGGGAGTACATGAGTCTGGGTTTTGTTACTATAAAGAAATTGTTTGAGGACTGGGGTTGTGGCTCAGCCAGCCGTAGAGGGTTTGCCTAGCATGTGCAAGACCTTGGGTTCGATCCTCAGCCCCACATAAAAATAATTAAGTAGAATAAAGGTATTGTGTCCAACTATAACTAAAAAATAAATATTTAAAAAAGAAAGGTTTGAGCCTCCATCCATCACTGGATTGCTTTGTAAGAGTGTAAGTGTGTGACTAACTCTTCAGATAAGGACACTTGATGCTCCACTAAGAGGTCCAAAATTCCCCATTTCCTGATTGCTTTGCTTAATTCTCACCATGGGACTTAGTTTTCATCTGTTGGGGAGCTGCCTCAAGGCCTTACCTTGGTTGAACTTATTTTACATTTCCTGTCTCCCCTGAAAGTGGCTTTCTATCTCCCCACCCCAGCTTTACATCACCTGCCATAAGCACAGCTTATGGAAATAACTCAGATCACCTTGAGATACCTAACAAGATTAGAAAACAGGAAAGAAGGAAGGGTGGGAAAAGAAGCAGAGAATGTCTCCTGTCTCTTAGATCCTGGTGACTGGTCCCCTGGTGACTGCATTGTCTATCCCCAAGAACTCAGTAGGGATCTACTGTCAGGCACCTTTGCTGCCCAAAGCAACTTCTCATTGATCTACTTCTAGGGATCTTGGAAAAGATGCTTTGAAAGTCTCCTCCCGGGTTGAGAGTGCAGCTCAGTGGTAAAGATCTTGCCTAGCATGCAGGAGGCCCTGAGTTCAATCCCCAGTACCATCAAATTAAAAAAAAAAAGGTCTCCATGCCCACACTTGAGGACTTGGTAACCTATTGCCCAAAATAGCCTCATAATATGCAGGTCCTCTTTCAAGACTTGTTAAGAACCCCAAATGGTGGTAGCAAAGCAGTAAACCAACCCCCATCTGACTACATGGATTGCACACCCATACAGTGGGTTACAATTCTGAAATAACCTCTCTCCATGCCCTGTGAAGGATCCCGGTCTCTGTCTTCCCATCACTCTGCCCACAGTGGAACATTTTATGAACCACAGTTTAAGGCTTTGAAGCAGCTTCTCTTTGTATATAAAAGAATTAAGTATTATTTTTACCTTTCTTGACAGTAATAACTTTTGAGCTATTTTTTTTTTGTTCTACCTGTTCAATGACAACCCTGCTAACCAGTTTAACCTCAAAACTCACATGAATTCTCGAGACCTGAAGACAGCTATTGAGAGAATTACCCAGAGAGGAGGGCTTTCTAATGTAGGTATGTGACCCCACTTCAGATAATTCTATCTTGTTGCCATGGTTCTCTTTCTATGTGGTTGTCTTCTAACATTCTATATTAAAGGAGGAAAAAAAAAGAATCCATCAAGAAATGACTCATGTAACATCTGTGTCTTTTCTAAAGTATTATAATGAGTTCAGGTGGCAAAAATTGTCAAAACATGTGTCATCTAGTTCCAGCTTGCTTGGTTCCTCAGGATGCCAACATTCTTCAGGACAAGCAGGACTGCTGTTGTGACTATTTCCTGGTTGGACTCCAAGTTGCCAAGATTGAACATTAAATCCCACCACCAATTCCATCAGAAAGCAGTTCAGTGCTCCTTGGGAGTCTTGTTCCAGTCAACTACTGTTGCAGCAATGACTTTGCAAACAGAGTCTTGTCCTCTATTTCAAGATGAATCTTTTGTGATGTTTGAGCGTTTGGAGGGGGAAACAGAAGTTCAAGATGTAATCCTCACTGGAGCAGGTTCAGAAACTCCATTTTATCATTTCACCCAGAGGTGACGGGGCATTAGGAAACAACAGTTTCACATTTTCACACTAACCGTGCTCAGACTGTCAAAGAACCCATGCCAATGTGTAATTAATGTATAAATGTTAGCCTGATTTTGGGGGACACAAGGGGGATGATTATATGCTTCTCAGGAAGCTGTTCATACCATCAAAATCCAAAGGACTGGAGATGTGGGCCACATTTGCTTGGCATGGAGAATCTATGTTCAGGGTGTAGAACTATCTTATCCTTGAGGAAGTTACAATAAATCTGATTAATTATTTTCCTCCCCCAACCCTGAGAGAACATTTTGTAGCCATCAAACATAAGAATCAAGTAAATGCAGAGCCTGTCACTTTTGAACAATGTTAAATAAACACTGACCAAGCTGCTGTTCTCCATGCCCCAAATTCCAAAGCATCTTCATTACAAACATGATAAAGTTGATTTCTGACTTGTTCTCCACTTAATACTTCCATGAGCAAAATTTTACTGGAGAAAAACTTCAGAAGACAACTAACTTCCCTGAGGAGATCAGAAAGGTGTTTCAACCTAATCAGTATACCTTTTTCAGTGTACCACAGGTTTGAATTCTGCCTCTGGTTCAGAGTTTGGGTTCAGAGGACAGAATCCAACCAGCTGGTTCAGGTATAAAGTGATTTATTTCAGAGCATTAAACATTATGAGAATTATAGAAAGGACTGAAGAAGCAGAATTTGTGAGCTTCTTTTGGAAACGGGGCTTCCAAAGGAGCTGCTACCTCTTCCAAGATCTAGAAACAACTTTCTGAATTCTGGCACCATAACCTCTTCAGGAACCTGCTTCAGCAGGAAGCCTACAATTAGGAAGCTTCTTCTACAGCTGCCAATCCAGAACCAAGTCCTCCCTGACCCATTCTTGCCCACAAAAGGGCTATTCTGCACCCTCTCTCCTAACACCATCAAAGCTAGCAACCAACACAAACATGTCTGTCAATGGTGCTCCAAGAGAAGTCAAATACTCTACAGATTCTCATCAGCATAAACTGCTGAAAGAAAAGTACAGCCCCTGCCTGCTGTCATCTTCTAAATCTC